CCTACGCGTGCGAGAGGGAACGGGAAACTCAGGCTTTGTGCTCTCATCCCGGGTGCGGGGTGGCAGACTTTACTTCCATCTGTGCTTCTGAAGTTCCTTCAGCTTCTTAGATGGCCTACGGGGCATCTCAGAGGTCTTTTGCTGGGAAAAGAGCTGTTAACTACTCTGGCCAGAACTGCCTCCTCTTTCCCAAATGGGTTGTGCACCCCTTCCTCCTTTAACCTTTGTGCTACAGAGAAATACTGAGTACCCTAGCCATACAGGCTCTCATTCGCACATGAACTGAAAAAGAACAATAAAAGACAGAGAAAGCCAACATTAACTTAACAATTTCTTAAAAATTTGAACTACTTTTCATAAACAGCAAGATGTTCTTTTGTCTTTGTTCCAGAAGAAGTTCTCTTGGTTTTGGTGCATCCTCTCGGACTATTTATTTAGATTTCTTTGTGCTTTGCTTTTTAGTTTTATCCCCTTGGGCTATAAATTGAATACTTTAAAATATTAATTTAAAACAAAAGCCAATTAAAAATAACATTTGTTAAGTACCTGTTGTGTACTAGCTACTGGGAGGCCTAAGCGATACTCTGGGGCTGGGCACAGCGGCACATGCCTGTAATCCTAGTGTTTTGGAGGCGGAGGAATACAATTTCACGGCCAGCCTGGGCTACAGAAACATCCTTTCTCAGAAGAAAGAGAGAAAGGAAAGAAGGAAAGGAAAGGAGAGAAAAGGAAGGAAGGGGAAGAAAAGGAGGAAGGAGGGAAGGAAGGAGAGAAGGAAGAAGGAGGGAAGGAAGGAAAGGAGGAGGCAGGCAGGCAGGAAGGCAGGAAGGCAGGCGGAAACAAACCAGGGGTGACATGGTCCATGTCTGTAAACCCAGTGCTGGAAGGTGGAGGTGGGAAGATCTGGACGTTCAAGGTCATCTTGGTCTACATAGTTAATTTGAGGCCAGCTTAAGCTGCATGACACAGTCTCAAAATTAAATAAACAAAAAAGCCCCAATCCTTAGACGCACAAAGCAAAAAATTGAGTTAATATTTGCCCTTAAACTGATAATGATCTAGGAAAAATACTAAAAATATTGGCACGAAAAGATGAGTTTCACTCACCAGATTGGCATACTGTATGCTTGCTTCCGTTTACTTTTATGTCCTCTAACTTGTTTTCATGCCAAGAAAGTATATGTTATATACACTAACAATTTTGTTCAAATATTGCATAGAAAAAAGTTTGGAGGAATGTATAGCAAATACGGGCTCTCTCTTGGTGGGATGACCACAGGGGTTCTTGTGTTACTAAATATGATAAGGTTTGTGGTTTTTTTTTTTTTTTTCAATAAACATTGTGTATAGAAGAAGAAGAAATTGAGATGTTAGCTTGTTAGAGAAACCTGGGAGAGCATTCACTTGCCAGGTGGCAAAGTGAATCTGCAGTGAGCTGTTTTTCTGGGGGTTATTGCTCAGAAGTCATGGTGAAATGTTCTCTCATTTATTATTGGCGAGAATATCTAGTCTTTTCGGGAAGGGACTTCATGATGTTCATTGAATCTCAATGTTCGGTTATGGAGCTGGCTCCAACTGTGTATAGAGTTGTGTAAAAAGTCATGTACTTGGGAAGTACTGGAGGAGAATGAATGGAGTTAGAAAAGCCTTTGCTATCACCCCTGAAAGCATTGCAAATCAGTAAGTAGACCCAACTGGGCACCCTGTCTTGCTTTTTCCTAACCACTTCTCCTATCTTTATTACAATCAAAATTAAATATTATTTGGTCAGTTTGCTTGGTGCCTGCTTAAAGTTGGTAAGGACTCTTCTTGGTACTTAGCTTATAAATATTTTTTTTAACTAGTTAGCTGGCATGTAAATGTTTGGGGAGGGGAAGAGCTAGACTTCTCTGTCTTCATATTTACTGAATTCTGGGAATGTTTTATTTTGTAGTCTTATAAAATTCAAGACAGTTCACAGTGAAAATACTGAACCTCTTTTATGAAATGTACCTGGTTGTCCTATAAAAAAGACTTTTGTCCCAGCCTGGCTTTCTTTTAAGAACAAAAAGACAGCATGAAGGATCCATGCCATAAGGCCCCTGCTTGCCTGTTAGAAATTCTTATGCTCTAGTTTTTATTTCATTTAGTGAGTACCAGGGCCTGGTGAAGCACACAGGAGGCTGCCACTGTGGAGCAGTTCGTTTTGAAGTTTGGGCTTCAGCAGACTTGCACATCTTTGACTGCAAGTGAGTATTTTATCTTTCCAAATTGCCTTAGAAGACTTGAGGAGCAAAGAGGCTGTGTTTCAGCCCAATCTGGGGAGTCTGGGTATAGATGAAACAGTGTTGGCTGTGAGCTGATAACTGTTACATCAGGTACTGGGAACATAAAGGTTCATTGTTTTGTTCTTTCCCCTTGTGTGTATGACTTGGAATTTTCAGTGATAATTAAAAAAATTATTATATGTTATACACTTAGTTTGTATGTGGGTCAGAGGACCACTGTGGGTGTCTGTTCTCTCCTTGGTCCTAGGGTCATCAAGTCATCAGGCTGGTGGTAGGTACCGTTACCTGCCAAGCTATCTCACTAGTCTGATTATTTATTTATTTATTTAGTTTTTTTTTTTTTTTCTCGAGATAGGGTCTCTCTGTATACTCTTAGTTGTCCTAGAACTCACTCTGTAGACCAAGCTGGCCTCAAACTCAAAGATCCACCTGCCTTTGCCTCCTGAGTGCTGGGATTAAAGGTGTGGACCTCTGCCACCTGGAATGATTTTTTTTTTAAGATAGGAGAAGGCTAAACATTCTGAGTTAATTGGAGTAACGCCTATAGTTTGTATGTGTGGAGCCTGTGTCTGTGTGTGTATATACCACAGAGCTCCAGAATACAGTTCAGGTGACAAAGCAGGGCTTTTCAGGGCTTTGGCTTATAGGCTCATGCCTCTCCCTGATACCACTGATTTAGGGGTGATTAGCCGGAGGTAGATCAGGCTGGCCATAATTCTCCGCTGGGATTCTGGGAATCCCACCGTGGGCAGAATCTTTTTAGGATTCTATCGGTGAAGCTAGATGAAAGTAATCCGGTGGAGAGTATATATTCCCAGAAGCTTTTCATGTACTGGCACCCTCTCTGTTCTTGGCATGAGGCCTGTGATACCACCCAGATCAGTGGCAGGCCTGCTTTTTAGCACCTTCCCTGGCATAATAATAGAATGAGAACAACAGGGTCTGCCTTCTGGACCAGCTATTGGTGGGTACTTAATTACTCAAGAGGGTCCAGTCCTTTTACCTCTAATGGTACCTGAATTTCATATGAATAATAAATACTGTGGATTTCCTCAAGTGGAGAACTGGCTAGTCCACTAATAGAATCCAGATTTGGAAAAAGGCATTATGGCATAATTTCTTAGAGAATCCTATACTAAAACAGTGTTTTAAAAGGTGAATTAGGGCTAAGGGTGTAGCTCATTTGGTAGTGTTTGCCTAGCATGTTCAAAGCCCTGGATTTGATCCCCACTTGTTCATAAACTGGGCATGATGTCACATGCCTGTCATCCTGAGGGAGGTAGAGACAGGAGAGTCAGGGTTAAAGGTTGTCCTTAGCTGCACAGTGTTTGTGGTCAGCTTGTGTCTATGAGATTCTTCTCTTAAAATAAATAAGCAAGAAAGCAAGCAAAGGAGCTCAAAGCTATCTTCAACTCTATAGCAAGTTTGAAGCCAGCTTGGGGATATATGTGATCAAAAAAATAAAATTTTAACATGACCCCTCTGTCTCAAAGAATAAAATAAAGTGAAAAAAATTTAAAATTATCTATATTATGCATGTGGGTGTTTTGCCTACATGTATGTCTGTCTGTTCACCACATGCCCCAGAGGTCAGAAGAGGGTGTTTGATACCCTGGAACTGTGAGCCACCAGGTCGATACTGGGTATGGAACTAGGGCTCTCTGAAAGAACTGCCAGTGCTCTTAACTGCTGAGCCCTCTCTAACTCCAAAGTCAAATTTAAAAAGAAAAAAAAAAGGTGAATTGAAGAGCTTGATGTATGCTTTAGTAGTAGAAAAGTACACTTTAATGCCTGCTTAGTATGCATGTTAGATACCCTGAGTTCACTGTATCCAGGGTAGAGAAATAAAAACAGACAAAAATGGTGAGTTGAAAAGAACACATTTTAACTCAATTTCCAGTTTGGTATTTCTTGGTTTTGTTATATTGAGACAGAGGGAAGCCGGAGGTTCTTTCCTTGGCTCTGCCGTGCCTGTCTAGAGGGGCATTAGAGTATAGCAATGTCTGAATTCATTTTCTGAGTGTCTTTAAGTCCACTGTTTCTCTTCAGGGCCGGGAGGGGGGAAGCAGAAATGAGGTCCAGGATTGCTGAATGCTGTGTGGTCTCTCTCCTCTGCTGGCTCTGTCACCAGCAGGCTTCACTGCCAGGAAGAGCAGAGGCTCCAGGTGGTCAGTCCAGCTGCCTAAGTTTCCCTTTCCTGGATGGTGCTGAGAAGGGTGTCCTGTTTGAGGTCAGCTGGTTCTGTAGGAATTGGGCTGGGCTGCTTGGGCATGTGGACAATGCAGATGGCAACTCACGATCTGGCCTTTGCTCTTTCTGTAGCTGTAGCATTTGCAAAAAGAAGCAGAATAGACACTTCATTGTTCCAGCTTCTCGATTCAAACTCCTGAAGGTTAGTACTTACGAGCAGGGTCTGGGTGGGTGGGTGGAGCCCATGTGGAAGGACCCACCAGCCACTACCCCACCCTTCTAGCCTGACTGCTGTACAGTGTAAGGGGCATAGGGCTTAGGAAGACCTTGAGATCCTTTTTTTTCTTCAGCTGGAGTCTCACTGTGTAGCCTAGGCTAGCCTCAAACTTAATGTTCTCCTTACCTAAGCCTCCCGAGTACTGGAGAGTTGTACCATTTCTCTTAGTTTCTGATTATTTTCCACTCAGGTCTTATTTCTTTCTTTTTCTTTTCTTTTTTTGGTAGATGTTTGGGGTTTGAACTCAGGGCCTCGATTATGCTGGGCAAGTGCTTTGCCACTGAGCTCTGTCCCTAGCCCACAGGTGGATTTTAACTGCCTTAGTTCTTTTTCCTTTAAATTTTTTATCTATTAGTGGGGTAGGCACATGGTACAGCACACATGGAGGCCAAAGATCAGCTCTGTTGGAACTGGTCCTCTCCTTCTACCTTTCCAGGGTTGTTTAGGGATCATACTCAAGTTGCTTCTGTAGTAAGCACTGTTACCTGTTGAGCCATCTTGCTAGTCCCTATTTATTTACCTTTTGAGTTGATAGGTTGTTTGGAGACAACCAGGCTGGCCTTGAACTCCTGATCCTCCTACTTCTGCCTCCAGAGGGCTGGGATCACAGGCATGTACCACTATGCCTGCTGCCTATCTTCCCTTTGTTTTGGAAAGCATATTTGATATTATTGTAGAAGCATTTTCAAATTTAGAAAGCCAGAAGATCACTTAAAGTCATTTTGAGAACTGAAAAATTATCTGAATATAACCTGTATTACTTTTGAAAAAATATAAGAAAAGTAAAATCATTCAAGGTAATCACTACTATTTTTTGATACACATCTTTATACATTAGTCTCTCTCTCTCTCTCTCTCTCTTTCTCTCTCTCTGATTGGGTCTTATGTATCCTAGGTTGGCCTTGAACTCCTGATCCTCCTGCTTCTATCTGAGCACTGGAATTACTGGCATGTACCACCATGCCCAGCATATACAGTGCTGGGGGTTGAACCTAGGGCTTCATGCATACTAGGCAAGCACTCTACTAACTGAACTATATTTCTGCCCATTTGTACATTATTTTTTATAGAGATAAATACATCTAAATATGTTGCTACAGCTGGTGGTGCACACTTTTAATCCCAGCCTTCTGGAGGCAGAGGCAGGTGGATCTCTCTGAGTTTGGAGCCAGAGTGAGTTCGTCTACTTAGTGAGTTCCAGGACAGCTAGAATTACATAGTGAGTTTCAACAAACAAACAAAATATATGTAGTTGCTTTTGAATCATTTTTCAAATAGTGAATTCCTGGATTGAGTCCAGTTTTTACATTTTTTATTATTTTATGTGTATGAATATTTTGCCTGCATGTATATATATGCACCTTTAATGTGCCTGGTATCTGTGGAGGCCAGAAGAGGGCATAAAATCCCCTGGAATTAGAGTTAAGGATGTTTGTAAGCCTCCATGTGGTACAAGGAACTGAACTCAGTTCCTTTTCGAGAACAGCAACTGAGTTATCTCTCCAGCCTCTAAATTTTATTTTATTTAATACTATATGTATGTCTGTAGGCACACATGCCATAGTGCACTCGTGGAGGTCAGAGGACAACTTACAAGACTAAGTTTTCTCCTTCTACCATGTAAGTCCTCAGGATTGAACTCAGGTCATCAGATTTGCATGGAAAACTCCTTTGCCTACTGAGTCACTTCATCTTTATTTATTTATTTGTTTGTTTTAAGTATGGGATCTTGCTCTGTGGCCCAGACTGCCTCCTGGGCTTCTAGTCTTTTTTTTTTTTTTTCCCAAGATAGGGTTTCTCTGTATTGCTTTGGAGGTTTCCTGGAACTCGATCTGTAGACCAGGCTGGCCTCAAACTCATAGAGATCCACCTGCCTCTGTCTCCCGAGTGCTGGGATTAATGGCGTGCGCCACCAACACCCAGCTTGGGTTTCTAGTCTTAGAGACCTTCCTGCTTCAGTCTCCTGAGTACCTACAAGTATATACTACCATACAGGTGTGATTAGCATACATTTTTATCAAAATATTACATAAGACAGTGTGCTGGCTAGATTTATGTTAACTTATCACAAGCCAGTGTTACTGGAGAGAAGGGACCCTCAATTGAAAAAATGCCTCAATAACATTGGGCTATAGGCAGGCCTGTAGGGCATTTTCTTAATTAGTGTTTGATGTGGAGGGTACAGTTCTTTGTGGGTAGGGCCGATTTGAGCAACGTAACTATATTCTGTCTCAAAGTAAATAAATAAAGGGTGTTATGTGTGGGGGGCAGTATGTAACTGTTCTGTTTAGGTGTGGTGGCTCACACCTTTAATCCCAGCCCTTGGAAAGCAGAGGTGGGTAGATCTCTGTGAGTTTGTGGCTGGCCTGGTCTACAAAGTAAGTTCCAGAGCCACACAGAGAAATCCTGCCTCCAAAGACAAAAATAAACAAACAGAAAAACCTGTTCTATCTATAAACTACTTTATCGTTTCCTAGTGAAAAAAAAAAAAAAAAACATCGTTTTTATCTTCTTTCCTTTTTATTCAGTGTTGGAGTTGAGCCAAGGGCCTCGTGTATATTAGGCAAGTCCTATACCACTGAGCTACATCCCCAACTGTTTTTAAGTTTGATTTCATCACTATAGACTTGTACACATCATCTCACTCTTCACAAGTCAGGTTCCTGACTGACTTATCTCACCATTCTTGAATTTGCAGTGGTGCACTCTTGGCTTGAGTTCATTTAAAACATTGTATTATTTTACACGTGGGGGGTGGTTTTATCTGCATGTGCGTCTGTGCACTGTATGAGTGCAATGCCCTTAGCAGCCAGAAGAGGGTGGCAGATGCCCTGGAACTGGAGTTACAAAGGGTTGTGAGCTGCTATGTGGGTGCTGGAAATCAAACCTGGGTCCTCTGAGTGACCAGTGCTCTCTTAACTTTTTTTTTTTTTTTTCAAGACAGGGTTTCTCTGTGTAGCTTTGGAGACTGTCCTGGAACTCGCTTTGTAGGCCAGGCTGGCCTGGAACTCACAGAGATCCACCTGCCTTTGCCTCCTGAGTGCTGGGATTAAAAGCATGCACCACCACTGCTTGGTGTGCTCTTAACTTTTAAATCATCTCTCCAACCCCCATTTCACTCCCTGAATTATAAACAACATTGTGATGAATTTCCTTGTGTATAAGTCTTTGACAATTTTCTTTAGAATCAGTTCTCTTACAAACAAAATCTCTGGGAAGGAAAACACAAATTTCATAAGATGCCTTTTTTTAGCAAATTCTAGATAAATGTGAGGAGGGGCGGGGCTTTAATTCTACCTTCCTTTTCTTCCCTTCCTCTCACAGTCTCACAGATTTTGTGAGCCTGTCCAAGAATTTGGTACAGACATTCCTGTCCTTTACTATGAGACTACAGGTGTGTCCAAGGCAGTCCTACCTACTGCCATGTTTGAGCCAGCTCCTGGCCTGGTAGGGGTTTAGTATCAAGATGGCTCTTAGTTAGGTTCCTGAGAGGAAAGACTGAGTGTGTCTTAGTTTTTTCAAGTCAAGGAGGAGTTCTTTGTTTGTTTTCTCTTTATATTTATGGCTGGCTTTAGATCCAGCATTCAGGAGGCAGAAGCAGGAGGATCTCTGAGTTTGAGACTATCTTGGTCTACATAGCAAACTCCAGGACAGTCAGGCCCATAGAGACAACTTGTTTCAAAAAGGAGAATTTATTTTTATGTGTATGTTTTGTCTGCAAGCATGTATGTGCACCACACGTGTGCCTGTTGAATCCCCTGGAGCTGAGGTTCTGATAGTTGTGAACCAACATATGGGTGCTAGGAGTTGAACTCAGGTCCTCTGCCGGAGCAGGAAGGACTCTTAATTGCTAAGCAACCTCTCCAGCCTACCAAGTCTATGAGATCTCATCTCCAATATGGGAGGCCAGGGTTCCTTTCTTCTCATTTTTCTTCCTTCCCTCTTCCTTGGGGGTCTATGGCAGTAAGTCATCCCTCCTTGGATTCTTATTATTTGGAATAGGGTTTGAATGAGAATGGCCCTCATCAGATCATGTATTTGAATGCACAGTCTATAATTGGTAGACTGTTTAAGAAGGATTAGGAGGTGAAGCCTTGTCTTAGGGTTGCTATTGCTCTGATAAAATACCACGACCAAAGCACCTTGGGGAGGAAAGGCTTTATTTGGCTTACAATTCCGTATCACTGTTCATCATTGAAGGAAGTCAGGACAGGAATTCGAACAGGGTGGTAACCTGGAGGCAGAAGGTGATGGAGGAGTACTGCTTACTGGCTTGCTCCCCATAGCCTGCCTGCTCAACCTGCTTTCTTATAAAACAGCCCAGGGGTAGCCCCATACACAATGGGCTTGGCCCTCACCTATCAATCACTAATTAAGAAAATGCCCTCCTGGCTTACCTGCAGCTGATTTTATGGAGGCTTTTTCCTCAATTGAGGTTCCCTCCTCTCTGATGACACAGGCCATGTGAGGTGAGCTTTGAGGTTTCAAAGGTCCAGTCTCTCTGTCTGTTTGTAGATCAGATGTAAGCTCTCAGTTATTGTTCCAGTGCCATGCCTGCCTGCCCACAAGCTCCTCACCATGAAGAGCAAGGACTCACCCCCAGGAGCTGTAAGCAAGCCCTCAATTCAGTGCTTCCTTTCATAAGCTGCCTTGGCCATGGTGTCTCCTCACAGCAGGAGAACCATAAATAAGGCAGTGAGAGAACAGATATACATCCACTTTGTGTCCTTTTCTTTGTCTCTATCTTTGTCCCTATACCTTATATCTCTGTCCACATCACAGAAGATGTGGTATGGGTGTCTGTTGGTAGAGAGCGCAGGGATCCTTCACTGGCTTGTGGGGCAGAAGTGCACTAACTTGCAGTCTGTCCTCAACCTCGTTCCTATGCTCCTGCGGCAGGCAGCTCCTGAAGATACCAGCAGGTGCAGTCTGGGTGGAGAATTGATCCTCTGTTTTCTTCCTCGATAGTCTTGTCCACATCTTTCCTGGTGTTCTGTGGCATCCCCCTATGCTGATTCATTGCCATCCATAACTCCAGTCCCCAGGGTCTGATGCTCTTTTCTTACCTTCATGGAACCAGGCACACACTAGGTGCACATATATATGCATGCGGTCAAAACACTCATAAACATAAAATACAATAGATATAGCTTTAATTTTTTTTAATGTGTGGGGTTGGAGAGATGGCTCAACACTTAAGAGCACTGGCTGCTTGTCCAGAGGACCCAGGTTCAATTCCCAGCACCCACATGGCAGCTTACAAATGTCTATAAATCTGACACCCTCACACATTCATTCATGCAGGTAAAACACCAATGCACATAAGATAAAAATAAACCTTAAAAACTTTTTTTGTTTTGTTTTTAAGACAGGATTTCTCTATGTAGCCTTGGCTGTCTTGGAACTAGCTCTGTAGAACAAGCTGGCCTTGAACTCACAGAGATCTGCCTGCCTCTGCCTCCCAAGCGCTGGGATCAAAGGTGTGTGCCACCACTGCCCAGCTAAAACACATTTTAAAATGTAAAATTTATTTTTTAATAAATGTGTGAGTCTGTGTGTATCTGTATTTATGTGTCTACATGACTGGGCACATATGCAAAAGCCCACAGGGGAAGTATTAGATCCCTTAGAACAGGAGTTACAGGTTGTTTGTAAGGTATCCAACATATGTGCTATCATATGAACTCTGGTCCTCATGATTGGACAGTATGGAGCTGAATCTGGGGCCTAGTGTGTACTAACATGCCCACTTGGACTCCTCCATGTGCCATACCTACAATCCATGTTTTACTTCTTATGTTTTCACTTTGGACCCTTGGAGATTGTTAGTGCTGCTTAGTATTTGCAAGCATTCTTTATTTTATTTTATTTTTTATTTGTTTATTTTTGTTTTTCAAGACAGGGTTTCTCTGTGTATCTTTGGAGCCTGTCATGGAAGTTGCTCTGTAGACCAAGCTGGCTTTGAACTCACAGAGATCCACTTGCCTCTGCCTCCCAGTGCTGGGATTAAAGGCATGTGCCACCACCACCTGGTCTATTGTGACCCCACCCCCCCAAGATAGGGTTTCTCTGTGGCTTTGGAGGCTGTCCTGGAACTAGCTCTTGCAGGCCAGGCTCGTGGCACCACCACTGCCCAGGTCTATTGCGACTTTTAAAAATTCTTTATTTTCATTTCATATGCATTGATATTTTTCCTGAATGTATGTCTGTGAGGGTGTCAGATCCCCTGGTCTCCAGAGCAAGTGTCAGGATAGGCTCCAAAGCTACACAGAGAAACCCTGTCTCAAAACAAACAAACAAACAAACAAAAAGTTGTCTCAGGTCCTTTGCAAAAGCAGTATGTGCTAACCACTGAGCCGTCTCTCCAGCCTCGAATTTGTGATCTTTTAATCCTTTTCACTAAGTTATAAGTATTTTGTTGTAGCTCATCAGTGTATGCATCATTTCATATGTTTCTTTTTTTCTTTCTCTCAACTGTCCATTCATATACTTTGCCTGCTTTTTCATTCATACTATCCGTTAAGAAAACTAACCCTGCTGAGGTGTGCTGACACACACCTTTAATCCCAGCACTCAGGAGGCAGAGACAGGCAGATCTCTGTGAGTTCCAGGCCAGCCTGGTCTACAGAGCTAGCTCCAGGATAGCCTCCAAAGCTACAGAGAAATCATGCCTCCAAAAACAAACAAAGAAACAAACAAACAAAAAAAAGGAAAAAACCAACCAAACAAAAAAACTCTTTGGGTATGACATGTGGCAAAGATTTTTTTCCCTAGCTTTTCCTTTATAAATAATTCAGGTATAGTCAGTAGTGTTCTTTAGATCTTGAGCGGTTTTTTTTGGGGACATGAGGAGGCAGTCTCTGGGGTGAGTGGCCCTGGGAAGCAGACACCTGTACTCCCTGACTCTTAGAGGGTATTCTATTTTAGGGTTCATCAACTTGAGCTTGGGTTGTTCAGTGTACAGTTGGGATAGGAGAATCTGTGGACTGTCGGGCTCCAGATCGAACTGTGTCTGGGAAGTATAGATGGGTCTGTGTCTTCAAGAAACTTTCAGGCTTTTCTAGGAAATGGGAGCCCTCTCCATAACCCAGAGAATTCTACAAAAGGGTATCCCCACTAATCCTCTCAAAAGGTTTATTTTTAATAACATTAAATGATCTCCTTGCCTATTTGTTTCTGTTCTTCCAGGGCGCTGAGAGCATAACCACATACACGTTCAATACACACAAAGCCCAGCACACCTTCTGTAAGAGATGTGGTGTTCAGAGCTTCTACACTCCACGCTCCAACCCTGGAGGCTTTGGTGAGTGAAGGGAATGTCTGTGTGGGCTTAGGACCCTGAGGAGCCTGGGGTGCTGGTTGGACCGCTGGGCCCTGGCATATGTCAGAAGAACAGGGAGGGTTCCTCTGATGGGTCTGGTCAAGTGTCTAGTAGACATATGGTAATGGTTTTCAGAGTTTACCCATAGGTAGTTCTTATTCCCTGGTACTGTAGGGCTGAGGGGAGACCCTACAAGATAGAGAGAAGATAGATGGAATGGGGCTGAAGAGATGGCTCAGTGGTTGAGTACTGGCTGCTCCTCCTGAGGACTGGGGTTCGATTCCTAATCTCAATCTATCTGTAATTCCAGTCTTGGGAATCTGGCACCTTCCTCTGGTCTCTGTGGGCACTGTATGCATGCGGTATATGCAGGCTAAACAGATACATATTAAATAAATAAATAAATAAAATATGGGTGGGAAGTGGGCCTGTGGGTTCATGGGAGGCTACTGGAATAATGACGGGTAAAGGGAGGGAAGAGGCCAGAATAATGGCTGTTGCTATTGTTTGAAAATGAAATTAAGGGCTATGGCTGTAGCTCAGTGGTAGTGAGCATTTGCCTGGCATGTGTGATCCTCACTCCATCCCTAAATAGATAGATAAAAAGATTTTAATTTCTTTTTTTTCAAAAAAAGAAAAAAGAGCCAGGTGTAGTGGCACATACCTTTAATGCCAGCACTTGGGAGGCAGAGGCAGGTGGATCTCTGTGAGTTCAAGGCCACAGAGTGGTCTCCAGAGTGAGTTCCAGGATAGCCTACAAAGCAAAACACCTGTCTCAAAAAAACCAAAGGAAAAAAAAGATCAATGGCTGATCTTGCAGGGGACCTGGGTTTGGTTTCCAGCACCAAAAGGTAGCTCAGTACTGTCTGTAATCTCAAGGGTCCAGTGCCCTCTGCTATTCTCCACAGGCACCAGACACACACATATGTGGTTCACAGACACAACACATCTATACATATACTTTATTTATTTTGGTTTTTTGAGGTAGCTTTTCTCAGTGTCCAGAGCCCTAGCTGTCTTAGGATTTGATTTGTAGACCAGGCTGGCCTCGAACTCACAGAGATCTGCCTGCCTCTGCCTCCTGAGTACTGGGATTAAAGGCGTCTGCCACCACTGTCCAGCAAATATATACTTTTAAAAAGAAGCAAAAGGAGCCCCTAGCGCCTTCTTGAGGCCCTGCTTGACCTGACCTGGAGGTGGAGTTGATACAACCACCCCTTAGAGTGAAATGAGGCTGGCCTGTTCTCATGTCATAGCTGTTGGGAGCTGTGGGTACAGCTATGACTGTACCACAGAGAGGAGAAGGCAGGACACCATGCCAGTCTCTCTACCCTGTGTCTTTAGCAGCTGCTGCTGGTTCCTGGTCTGCTGAGTCCTGGTTACCTTGAAACAGGGAAGGGTTTTTTGTTGTTTATTTGTGGGATTGTTTTTCGTGGATTTGGTTTTGAGACTGTCTTACTGTAGTCCAGGCTAGCCTCCTGGTAGGCCTCTTGCTTCTGCCACCTGACTGATGAGATTAAGGCATGTGCCACCATGCCTGCCCAGGAAAAGGTTTTAATAGTTACAAAGTCCTGTATAAATTGGAAACTATTTAATTTTTTATCTATCTAACCCCAGGAAAGTCCTGAGAATTGGGCCAGGCCCAAAACCTTCCTAATACTTTCCACATTCAACCCCACCCCCTCCCCTTGTACTGGGATTGACCACAGGTCCTTGTAGATATTGGTAAGTATTCTGCCTCTGAGCTGTGTCCCAGGCCTTGAGGTTTTGAATGCTCCCCGGCATTGGCTGACCCTCATTCAGGGTATCTGACCTTCACGTGACAGGTGAGGACCTGAAGGCTGAAGGCCTAGGCTGAACTAGAACCTTCTTAGTATATCAGCAGGCCACACAGCCTCTTACGCCCAGGTGGCAAGCTGGAGCATGCCACTCAGGTAGCACTTGTGGGATAAAGGTGCTCGAAGGTGAGGGCTTGTTTGATACATTCTCTGGTCTCACCCTTGCCCCTAGGAATCGCCCCCCACTGCCTCGATGAAGGCACTGTTCGGAGTGTGGTCACCGAGGAATTCAATGGCAGTGACTGGGAGAGAGCCATGAAGGAGCACAAGACCATAAAGAACATGTCTAAAGAGTGAGCTCATGCTTCCTCCTTCCCGAGAGGGAGCCAGCAGTTGCTGTGCAGACCTGGGCCGCCATCTCCACTCCCAGTGTCCTGTGGTTTGCCTCCATTTCTTTAGGCAGCTCTGCCCTTAGCCCAGATTTCATGTAAGACAGTTGACCTTTTCCCTTCCCACCGACTTTTGTGTGATCTTTTAGAGAATAAACATTTCTGACATTAACGCTATTACTGTGGCCCCTCATTCCTTTGAACTTTGACTTTCGCCTCTGAGGCCTGTCGCTTAACAGCAGACTAAAATTGTGAGCACCAATAAGACACCTGCAGCCAAACTGAGAAGAGGTAAGACGGCAACAGCAATTATGACCAGAAGACTGAATGACAGCCGTCCGTGTGAGTTGTGAAGATGTGGTGATGTCGCACACCTTTAATCCCATCACTCAAGAGGCAGAGGTAGGCAGATCTCTGTGAGTTAGAGGCCAGCTTGTCTATGGAGTGAGTTCCAGGATGGCCAGGGCTATTACACAGAGAAACCCTGTCTTGAAAAACCAGAATAAATAAATAAAATAGTTGAGTAACTCATTCAATTAATCTTTTCTTCTAAAATTAGCAAAGTATTTGGTTTCATTACAGTGCATGTCCCTGTATGATGTAGTCTGCCTCACAAATCACCTCATTAGTTTTATTAAGATGAAGAGCAAATGTTTATTAACTCCTCCAATATGTTCAATGCTTGACAGTTAAGCAGATTTTGTTTTCATTTTTTCAAGACAGGGTTTTCCTATGTAGCTTTGGGGCCTGTCCTTGAACTTGCTCTGTAGACCAAGCTGGCCTTGAACTCACAAAGATCCCCGTCTCATTCTCCATTGTCATCATGGTGGTGTGCAGTCAGACATGGTGCTGGAGAAGGAGCTGAGAGTCTACATATTGATCCACTAGCAACAGGAAGTGAACTGAGCCAAGTTTAATCATAGGAGACCTCAAAGCCCTGCCCCTATAGTGACACACTTCCTCCAACAAGGCCACACCTACTAATAGTACCACTCCATTTGGGGGTCATTTTCTTTCAAACTATTGATCATTTGTTCTCAACTGTTTAAAAAATATTTTTTATTCATACTGTGTGTCTGCATGTGTGTGCATGTCTGTGTGTCTTCCACAGCTTGCTCGGAAGTCAGAGGACAACTTGCAGAGTCAGTTCTTTCCTTTACTATGTGTTGATGGATATCGGATCACACTGTGAACCCTGAGATTGAAATCAACCATAGGTCAAGAGGCAGAGCAAGCAACCAGTTGACTGGAAGTAACCCTAGAGAGTGAGGGGAAGTTGAAGTGGAGGGGGAGCATAGGAAGTAGAAGGGAGGGACTGTAGGAGAAACTGTGGCCAGCCTACCCCAGCCGCAGGTGACCAGGCTAGCCTCCCTAAGCTAAGCCTGCCTCTGTACCTAGAGACTGCTGACAAAGAGATACCTGACCCAGAGACACCAATGAGGAAAGGACAACATAGCAGAGTCAGCTGCCTGAGCCAATAGGACCTTGGGAGAAGGTATAAAGGCAGGTCTAACTTCCTTAATGAGTCTTCAGAGTGCTCTGCTACTTACTGGCTCCCAATGCCTGAGTTGTTGGTGCTGCATCTTCTCACTCCCTCCCCCAAGGGGTGTCTGAAGGTGGGGTATGGGTATGGGTATGCCAGTCATATCCTGTAACAGATAGGGACTGAGGGATGCTGGAGAACCTAGCAGCCAGGTCCACTTGGATATATTAAACAGGCACTTTACACTTCCCAGCTATGGCCTCTTCCCTTTTTCTAGGGCTTCTCTCACTGACATCAAGATGACTGTATGTCATTCACCTCTTCCAGCATGACTTCTGCTTCTTGGCTTTCCCTACTCTCACTTCACAGATAGATCTTGCACTTGCTATTGTAGACCCATCCATCCATCCATCCACCCACCCACCCATCCATCCATCCATCTATCCATCCATCCCTTTTTTGATTTTGAGACAGGGTTTTATTATTTTATACTGTACATACAAAGTTTTCTGCTCTTGTCGAAGCATAATGGTTTAATTATGGAAAACCAAGACTTAATGTTTTTCTACTCTGATTCTTCAGCATGAACATATCAAATAAGAATGTCTTTGGAGTTCATTGTTAGAACGTTTGACTTTTTAAGGAATTTTGTATGTATTTATGTGCAGAGTTTTGCCTGCATTTTGTATATGCACCACATTATGCCCACAGAAGGCAGGAAAGAATATTGGATCCCATGGAATGACAGTTGTAGGCAGTTGTGAGCCACTGTGTAGGTGCTGGGAACTGAACCCAAGTCCTTTGCAAGAGCAGCAAGTGCTCCTAACTGCTGAGCCATTTCTTCAAGCCTCAGAACATCTGATTTTAATAACTGCTTTTTGAAGAGATGGTGAATGTCAGTAGCTATGAGACTGCAAATGAATGTGGCTTGATTAACACCTAGCTAAATCTAACATTGAATCTGTAACAGTGAGATGGCTCAGCTGGTAAAGATGCTTGCCTGTCCCTGGAACTCACATGGTGGAAGGACAAAAGTGACTCCTGAAGGTTGTCCTCTGACCTCCACAACACACACACACACACACACACACACACACACACACACACACACACACACCTTTTTAAATTGCTGTTTGATTTGGTAACTTTCATAAGAAATCATTAAGTGAATTTTGGCTTGGAATTAGGACAGGCGTTTCATCAATTTCTGAAATGTTCCTAAATACACTTCTACCATTTTGTACTATGTATCTATGGGAATAGGCACAGTCACTAATGACTATAAAATCAAAATAACAATCATTTCTGAAAAATGTTGATGGTGCTGTGCCTTGCAGCCAGAACTTGATTCTTTATGCAAATTAAGCAAACACATCCATCTCAATGTGCAGATTTAGTGTCCAGTAAATGGTAAAATTCTATGTATGCTAACGGATTATTTTGAAAGATTTCTTTATGATTTATTATCAATAAGTGCTTGATTTATACACCTATTTACATACCTGTATATCTGGGATTGTATAAAACTTTCTCCGGTGAAAGGGGTTCATGAATGGAGACTGTTTAAGCAACCCTACAGAAGATGCTCACATAGAGAAATAGCATCAATCAGCAAATAAAAACACCATTAAAAATATTTCTTTTACTCTGGGTGGTGGTGGTGTATGTCTTTAATCTCAGCACTCCAGAGGCAGAGGCAGGTGGATCTCTTAAGTTCCATGTCAGCCTGGACTACAGAGCAGTTCAAGGCTACAAAGAAAAACTTTGTCTCGGAAAACAAAACAACTCCTTCCTAGATTTTTACATATTATTTATTTTTGATGAGTCTCCTTTAGCCTGGGTTGGTTTCAATGTATGTGAGGATGACCTTGAATTTCTGCAGCCTCTGCAGCCCAAATGTTGGCACACAAGTTTATGCTGTGCTGGAGACCAAACCTAGGCAAACATTCTACCAACCATCTCCAACCTTCTAATTTACTATCTATAGTAAATCAAATATGAGCAGGCACAAAATAATTCTCATACATCACTACCTGGAAGCGTTGTAATTCTATGCATTTTGTTTTTTGTTTTTTTTCTAGACAGGGTTTCTGTGTAGCTCTTGTTATCCTGGAACTTGATCTGTAGACCAGGGTGGCCTCAAATCACAGAGATCCACTTGCCTCTGCCTCCCAAGTGCTGGGATTAAAGGCAAGTACCACCACCACCTGTTTCTATGCATCTTTTTAACCTCTAAGATTTCAAAATATGTTTCATAGGTTGTACTGTGTATATATTGTAAAAAATGTAAAGGGATTGTCAACAAATTAAGAATTCTCACATCAAAGGGGATGAGAGGAGGTTTACCTTGGAGTGAAATTCCAGTAACAATGACCCAGGATGCAAATGTGGATTACCCCATTTTTATGTTCCGATGTGGACACCGATCCATGAAGTTTTATAGCAGCAGAACAAAGGAAGGCATACACAGGCACTTTTCATATACACAGTGGGAACATCAGGTAGGTGGATCACAGTTGTCAGCTGTAGACCTCAGATGCCATCTGAAGGCATTGGCAGCCTTTTGGTTGGTGACAACTAGGGCTCCACTTCTATATATCAAAGTGTTTACCTAATGGTCACAGTGATGGTCACATACAGGCGTGGAGAATAAATACCTATTACAGTGTCTCAAGATGCCCCAAGATAACTCAGTTCTGGACGTGAAGACTTTTAACCTCTCTACATCACTACTAATCAGTTAATCAGCCTTGCAGAGGGATCATTGTAAAGCACTGTTCTTTTCAGGAACACAATACAAAAGGAATCTTCTTCAGAGACATGCTCCACAGAAGGGGGCAGCCTCTGCTTGCTTACACACATGGGTATGGAAATACATTTTTTTCCCCAAACAAAATAGGTTAGGGAAACTATTTGCTCATTATCTTGATTTCATCATGTAATATGCCTGATGGCTTTTTACTTGTGGATATATTGCTTTATTTAAAAGTGGTTTTATGATAATCTGTTCCATTGGAATACCTATAATTTGTTTATTTGAGGTGGGTTGTTTTTGTTTCTTAGGGTCTCACTATGTAGTTCTGGCTGTCTTGGAACTCACTATATAGACCAGTCTGGCCTCAAACTCACAGAGATCCACCTGCTTTGTTGGATTATGCCACCATGCCCAGCCTGTTTTTGTTTTTTGAGAGTCTCACTGTGTAGCATTGGCTGACTCACTGTGTAGACCAGCCTGGCAGGAATGCACAGAGACCCACCAGTGCTGGGATAAAAGGTATGCACTTTCATGTCTGGCTTAGAATAGTGGTTTTTATTTCTTTGTTTTGTTTTTGTGTTTCTTTGAGGCAAGTTCTCATGTCTGTCTGCCCATAGTGTTAATAACTCTTCTAATAAATTCCCTACCCAGAGGACAGTCCATCTCAGTATCCTCTTAAACCCCACAAAGATCTTTCAATACTGTATATATGCATATATATGCATTTTAATTAATCTTTTACATTAGCATATGAATGATGGGTTTCATTATGGCATTTTCACATGTAGGACATGGCTGCCCTCACACTTCCAGTAATTCTGTCTATCTTCTGAGTGCTGGAAGTTTAGATATGTGCCACCATGCTTGGCGACAGGAGATTCTTTTTTTGTTTGTTTGTTTGTTTGTATTTTGAGACAGGGTTTCTCTGTGTAGCTCTGGCTGCCCTAAAACTGACTCTATAGACCAGGCTGGCCTTGAACTCACAGATCCACCCACCTCTGCCTCCCAAGTGCTGGGATTAAAGGAGTGTACCACCACTGACCCATTGACATCAGATTCTTCAGTGCTTAAAAAAACGGTTCCAGGTTTGTCTTTTCTCTATTTCCTACTTTTTTCTTTTTGAGACAGGGTCTGTCTCCAAAGCTCTGGCTGTCCTGAAACTTACTATGTAGATCAGGCTGGCCTTGGACTCGGAGATCCACCTGCCTCTGCCTCCTGAGTTCTTGGATTAAAGGTGTTTGCACAGCTCCTACTTTCAAAAGGCAGAGAACCAAGATGTTTATTGGCTCCCCAAAGGGAGGACCCACATGACCATCTACACACATCAGTACCATGGTGATAAAGCACAGAACTAAAGTTCTGGTAAGGAGGCCACAAATAAAAACCCAAGGAAGTATGGTTGAACCAACTGAAGTTTCTCTCTCTCTGTCTCTCTCTTTCTGTGTATGTGTGTTGAACCTGTGTTATGGTTTGACCATGTCTGTGGAACTCAGGTGTGCTCAAAGCACCAGTGTTGGGAGGTGAGACCTTTTGCAGGTGACTGGGTCACTTGCAGCTGTGGCTTTGTTTTAAAGGAGCAATCTCAGGCTCACTAGCTTTGTGTCCCAGTGACTGCCTTTGTCTTTGAGATGCATCAAAAAGCCCTCCACCAGCTGTGATACAGAGGCTGCCATGCTCTTAGACTTGGCAGAACTGTGAGCTAAGTAAATCTCAACTCTACAGACCCCTGGTTACAGGAATAGAAGACTGACCAAAACAGCCTGCTTTAGAAGCAATGTAAAAACCCCATCTGGGAACTATTTTTTATGGCACCTTTACATTCATTTCTGGTAAAGGCAACCTTCCCAGGCTTTGCTAGATGATTGATACACACTCTGTTATCATGCCAACTATTTTTCACAAGAGTTGGTAAATTAGTGGGGTAGCTATTATTGCATTGGTGCAGTTTTGGGTCTTGGTGGTGTTTTTCCCTCAGAGGCTGCTTGGGGGGGGTCCCTGGCCCTGGGCTAAGGGGATGGAGCCAGCCCAAAGCCAGGTCCAGGGACTTCTTGGTTTGTTTCTGCCTTTTGTTCTGAAGATCTGAAAACTCTTCTTGGCTTCAGAGGAACTGTAGTGAGTTGATTCTCATGTATCTGGAGAAGATGACGTAGAGGTGGCGGAACCAGAGGAGCTGACTGTGGTGGCAGGACATGGCTTTCTGGAAAAATCAAAGAGGACCAAAGTTGGACACTTTCTCTGGGGCTGTGATTTTTAGATCTTCCCTTCTCATCAGAGCAGGGCACATCAACCCACAGTCCCCCACCCCCAACTCTAATGAGTCACCTGCCCAACTGCCAGCTTTAAAAAAAAAAAAAAAGATTTATTTTATATGTATGTGTGTGCCTGAGTACATGTATGTGTACCCATTATGTACAGTGCCCATGGAGGCCAGAAGAAGGTGACAGATGCCCTGGAACTGGAGTGGGCTGGTTGTGGGCTGTTCAGTGTGGGTGCAGGGAACTGAACCCAGGTCCCCTGCAAGAGCATCAAGTGCTCCTAACCACTGAGCCATCTCTCCAGCCCCTTATTTTTATTTACTGATGCTATTATGTATTTCTGAGTCTCCAAAAATGAGCATATGCCATGTATTTATTTAAAGTGTTTATAATCAGAAAAAAAGCCCAAGTCGCTGGGCGGTGGTGGTGCATGCCTTTAGTCCCAGCACTCGGGAGGCAGAGGCAGGTGGATCTCTGTGAGTTCGAGACCAGCCTGGTCTACAAGAGCTAGTTCCAGGACAGCATCCAAAGCCACAGAGAAACCCTGTCCCAACCCCCCCCCCCCCCAAAAAAAAGCCCAAGTCATTGAAAATACATGCCTGTCAGGTGTAGCTGAAATAGTCTAGCAAGCAGAGCCAGCTTCGTCCCTGTGCTGGGGACTCTGTAGGTAGCAGGGCTTTGAGGAGCCAAGGGACCCGAGGCTGGGTTCACAGTGCAAAGCGCAGGAAGTACAATCCTTACCTTGGCCTGTGCCACTTCTTTACTGGTGAGCTGGAAGAGGACATCGTGGGGTGAGAGGAGAGACCAGGGCAGATCCAGAGGGTAGAGATACTTCCGTAGCACATTCACAGACTTCAGAGTAAGTACAGAGCACCCTGGGCGAGGAGGGATGGCAGACGGCATCACGTGGCTGCTCTCAGCCGGGTGTTTCCCTGAGCACCCTCCCTCTTCAGGTGGCTCTGGGCGGGCAGAGCAGTTGCTCTCCAGCCGCTAGGTGCCTTGTGGCACCAGACCTGCTCTTTACCAGTATTCCCCCACAAGGGAAGAGTGACGGGGCCACAGAAGCTCCCCACCCACTGTGTGTCACTGTAAGAGGAAGGGGGCTGCTAGAGGGTGGAGGAAAGATGATGGAGACAGGAATTTCTGAGTCAGGAGGCTAAAGACTTGTTTCAGCTTTGCTCTGACATGAGGCACTGGGTGTGGTGGCGTTCACCTGTAATTCCAGTACTTGGAAGGCGGAGACAGGTGGACAGCCATGAGTCAGAGGCAAGCCAGGGTTACATAACAAGTTTGAGGTCAGCCTGGGCTTCAGAGTGAGACCCTGTCTCTGAAAAAAAAAAAAGAAAATTGATGTAGAAAGTCCTTTAACTGCTCTGGATTTTAGCTTCCTAGTTGCTAAAGTAGTGTTGATAGTGTAGGTAGGACCTGCCATCTTACACGGGCAACACAGAGTCAAACGGAACACACCTGTGCTCCTAAGACCTCACCGCCTGTGACGACAGTGCACATCACTTATGTTTCACTCTTTGAACTCATGTCACTCTTGTGAGGCAGGCAAGGCCAGGCCAGAACTTGCTGAGAGAAGTAGAGTAGAACATCAGGCAGCAAATTGCCAGTAGGGCCCTATGCCTCCCAGACAGCAAATGACCAGTGGGGTTTAGAAAGTATTACTATTAACCAGGCGGTGGTGGTGCACGCCTTTAGTCCCAGCACCCGGGAGGCAGAGACAGGAGGATCTCTGAGAGTTCGAGACCAGCCTGGTCTACAAGAGCTGGTTCTAGGACAGCCTCCAAAGCTAAACAGAGACCCCCTGTCTTGAAACACATCCCCCAACACACACACAAAAAGAAAGTGTTACTATTTCTTCTTTTTCCTCTTTTAAAATTTTATTTATTTTGTGATTTTTGTTTGTTTGTTTTATTTATGAGTGTTCTGTCTACATGGATGCCTGCAAACCAGATGAGGGCATCAGATGTCATTATCGATGGCTGTGAACCACTATGTGGTTGCTGAGAATCAAACTCAGGACCTCTGAAAGAGCAGCCAGTGCTCTTAACTGCTGAGCCATCTCTCCAGCCCCTGAAAGTGTTACTGTTTCAAGCTCATCAATCTATAAGGAACTTGTGAGGCACTTATAATCCCTAATGAAGTGGGTGGTGGGGGGTGAGTTTAAATAGACTAGCAGAATGCCAGCAGTGGGAAAGAGCTACCTTCCCCTGGAGGGAACTAGACAGGGCACTGGGCAGTGATGCAGTCTGAACCTGTCACACACACCTGCCCGAGTTAGGGAGAGTGGACCACCTCCCAACACTTTCACAGTCCAGTGCTGCTCTGTGTATAGGTGCCCTTCAGTCTGCAGGGATAATGTTCTAGGACCCCCACAAATACTTCAATGGATGCTCAAGTCTCTTCTATTAAATGACATAGAATTTACATAGAACCTACTCATGTCCTCTGGTGTATGTTAGATCATCTCTGGGTTACTTATAATCCCTAATGTAAGGTAAATGCCATGGAAATAGTTGCTACATTGCATTGTCTAGGTGTTAGTAATTTAAGAAAAGTGTCCTGTGAGAGAAAGACACCATGGGACAGGGTTCAAGCAGAGGTTTGTTTTTTTGTTTGTTTGTTTGTTTGTTTGTTTGTTTGGGAAAGAGAGCATACAAGGGGGAAAGGAAAGGCCTCCAGAGACAGGAGCAGCACGAGAGAAGAGAAAGGAAAGGGGGGGGGGAGAGAGACAGGGAGAGGAAGGAAAGGGGAACAGACAGAAACAGGGAAAGAAAGAAAGATGGGAGGCGGGCAGGGCCCTTTTAAAAGGGAATATAGTGAATAGGCACAGATGGTGCTCTTAGTGGCTGCAGCTGAGGGCGTATCCTGTCAGAACTCCAAGGACAGGACAGTACAGATGCCTGAATACTAACACTAGGGACCAATGAGGAGAAAAGAATATGCATGTTCAGTACAAGTGCCCATTTTTCTACTTGATATTTAAGAATATTTTAATTTTTGTGTGTATGCTTGTATGAGTTTATGTGCACCACATTCCTGCACAGTATATCTGGTGTCCCCAGAACTGGAGTTATAGGTTGTTGTAATCTGTCTGATACGGGTGCAGGGAACAGAACCCAGGTCTTCTTTAAGAGCATTAAGTGCTCTTAACTGGGTAGCCACATCTCCAGCATTCCCTTCAATAATATTGAACCCATGTTGTGAAATCCATAGATACATAGAAACCCATAGATATGGAGGGTTGGCAATATTTGCAAAATTCCTTGGTAAATTTCTTAAAGGGATAGTAACCATTGTCCATTTGCAATAAAACCAGGCCTTCCTTACCTTTAGGCAGCTTTCCTTCTGAGTGCAGGGCTCTGGAAGGTAGAGAGGACAAGCATTAGAGAGGGTACGAGTCACCTACTCTTCTGTGTTAACAGGAGGGACCTTCAGAGCGAGATCTGTGTGGCTTATGCCCCAACCAAACACACAGGCTCCCAGTGGTTTCTATTGTATAAACCAACATCTAAATATACAGATTTCCACACCCATGGTTATTGCTGAGGGGAGCAGAGTGGGCATTTCATTCCCACTCAGCTTAATCCAGAAACTGGTGTATGGCTTATGGAACAATCCAACCCAAGTTTTAAATATTAGAGATGAGGATAACTATCCTCGATTTTTTTCTCTTGAAATTATAACATTTGTTAGCTGGGGTTGGTGGTGAACACCTATAATCTCAGCACTCAGGAGGCAGAGGTAGGTAGATCTCTTCATTCAAGACCAGCCTGATCAACATAGTGAGTCCCAGGACATCCAGGGCTAATCAGAGAAAGTGTCTTGAAAAAACAAAAACAAACAAACAAAAAAGAAATTATACACTCAGGTGGCAAAGGCATCAGATCTCTGTGAGTTTGAAGCCAGCCTGGTCTACAGATGTGTTCAGGGTAGCCAGAACTGTTACACAGAGAAACCCTGTCTCAGGAGAAAAAAATTATAATGTGAGTATAATGAAAGAACGTTTTAATATGTTAACTGATGTTTCTCCCCTAGTATTTCCTCTAGTGACCCCCTCACTCCCACTGTCTGACAGTGAAATTTGTTCTGAGTTTACTATTGTAAAGAGGGGCACGGTAAATCCAATACCAGTAATCTCTGGATTGCTTCCTGGCTTTGTTATCAGAAGACAGGGGACACAGAAGAAGTGGGTGGACTCAGAACACACACACACACACACACACACACACACACACACACACACACACACACACACACACACATAGGGGCTCAGGGGCAGGGGTCAAAGTGAGGGAGTCAAGAGAGACTTGATAAATGCATCAGAATCCTAAGAAGCAGAAAACCCTGAAAGAGGTTTCTGGGGTCCTGCACTCTGGGCAGAGCCTGGGGACAGTCTGACTTTGAGGCGGATGCACTGGTACAGAGGTGAGCACTGGTGGACCACACAAGGGAATCACATTCACAGCCCTCACAACCCTTGAAGAACCTTACTGAATGGGGCTGGGAAGGGAGCCCTGGGCACAGGGACACTGAAGGGCTTTGGGTGGGACAGGAAGAGACTGGGAGATGACCAGGGAGACCAGTGCTGGGAAAGACAGCCAGTGTCAGCAGGTCAAAGCAGTGTTTTGATGAGGGACAGAGAGGTACCACAGAAGGGCAAAGGCAGGTGAGGACAAAGGTGAGTCTGATGGATTTACAGCCAGGAGGAGGATGTGGAGAAAAGTTTCAGTAGCTGGTCAGCATGCCCACATGTTGTTGCTTTATATCAAGTGCGGGGCCACGTTAGAGTAGAGAGGATTCATGAACTGAGAGCCCATGGCACTCCAGTGTCTGAAGAAATGCCAGCTGCAGCAGGCCTATTTGCAGAAAGCTGTGCCCTTGAGCTCCCTGCCCTGAATGAAGCCATCCCTGTACCCCCATTTCAGTGTTAACTAGTGTCCTAGTTTGCTTTCTGTTGCTGTGATACAGACCACGACCAAAAGCAACTTTGGGAGGAAGGGGTTTATTTCATCTAAAAACTCCCAGATAACTATCACTGAGGCAAGTGAGGTCAAGAACTCAAGCAGGGCTGGGAGGTGGTGCATGCTTTTAATCCCAGCACTCAGGAAGCAGAGGCAGGTGGATCTCTGTGAGTTTGAGGCCAGCCTGGTTTACAGAGTGAGTTCCAGGACAGCCAAAGTTACACAGATAAACCCTGTCTTGAAAAACCAAACCAAACACAAACAAACAAAAACCTCCAACAGGAACCTAGAGGCTGGCCATGGAGGAGCACTGCTTAATGGTCTTGCTACTTTTGGCTTTTTTTA